GAACTCAAGCAGGTTTCTAACATTTGGTAGCTGCTGTATAAAAGTTCCTCAGCAATTGGCGTTTTTATTCCAGGGATCCATAGTTCCCACCGCTGATTTCTAGAACCTGGTATTTTTAGAAATATAGTCTTTCACAGGCGCCTTAGGGGCTTAGTGGGTTATGAGTTGGGCTTTTAACCAAAAAATACAACCTACTTTTAAATGACATGGGAATTATCAGAAGGCAAAAATAGCTAACTTTTTAGTAATGGATTCTTACCATAAATACGAATCTATTGTTAAGTTTATTAAACATATATTTAATATTTGCATGCAATACTCTTTTCTGGACTTTATTTTCCTTGAGCAAAGGTGTGCAGGTGCCAATTTACACACACTCATTCATATAGTTAACATTTATTAAGCACATGATTTGTGTTAGGGATAATTCTGGCCACTAGGGACATTTTTTAGTTGTTTCCATCCATTTTTCTTACCATAGTGGCTTGTATTTTACTAAGATGCTGGGCATTTTTTGGCATTGTTATTTCAAATACCAGTAGGATCAGTGGAGCTTCCAGACTGAGTACACACTAGAAAGAGGGAAAATGACTGTACTTCCAAGAGCTTAGCTGATGAAAACTATGAATTGCAGTGGAACATTGTCAGACATCGTATTGAAAGATGAGCCCTTCTTATCAGCAAACACTCAAAATACAACTGTGGAAGAACGGTCTCCTCTAAGCACAGTTAATTTTAATGATAGCGATGGAGTAACACTATTGGAACCAGCATTTGCTGACAGGGTACAACTGAAAATGAGAATAAATAGATGCAAATATCTATAAGTAATTAGAACATGAAACATGTGGAGAATAAATTAGGAGAATTATAAGTCATAAAAATGGAATGCATAAAGATCAATATTCTAGGCATAAGTGAGCTGAACTGGACTGGTATTGGTTAGAGTTGGAAAATCATGGTTTAATATGCTGGGAATTAGGAAGGACCTCTGAGGATTAGTACTGCATTGGACATCGTAAAGAAAATTTTAAGACCTATCTTGAAGGATAATGCTGTCTGATAGAATACTGTCTATGTGCCTAGAAGGAGGACTGGTTAATACAACCATTAATAAAATTCACTCACCAACCAAAAGCTAGGAATTAAAAAAAAAATTGAAGAATTATACCAACATCTTCAGTCTGACATTGATAAAACATGCTGACAAGATGCACTGATAATTACGATCATTTGGACTGCAATAGTTGGAAAAAAGAGGGAGCATTAGTAGTTGCAAAACATAGCTTAGAATATGATTGAAATGACATTTGCCGATAGAATCTTGCAATACTTATTTCATCTTTGCAAATACTCTTTATCAGCAACATGAATGGTGACTGTATATGTGGATGTCAAAGGAATAAAATTGATACATCTATGGGTAGAGATAAGGGTGAGGTTAAATATCATTAGTGAAAACAGATCCAAAGGTTGACTGTGCAACAAACCATCAAAGGTTCATAGTGAAGTTCAAGTTGAAGCTGAAAAACTTAAAACAAGTTCACAAGAGCCACAATATGACCTTGAATACATCACACCTGAACTTGAAGAGCATCACAGGAGCAGATATTCATGATATATTGAATAATAATAACCAAAGACCAATAAGTTATGGGATGACATCAAGAAAATGAAGAAAGCAAGCGACAATTAAAAAGACAGAAAAAAGTATCTATCTCTTTGTATAAGTTAGTCAGTATAGTCAGTATAACCCCATGGAGACAATGATGGACTGAAGGTTGTGGGGTGGGCCATGAGAAGGGTGGAAATAGGGGGAGGGGAGGGGTGAGCCAATAATGACAGGGACATGGAAATAGCAAAGTTATTAAATAGGAGGTGAGGAGGGTGCAGCATTGTTGCTTGGGTTTGATCAATCAAAAAGTATCTGAGAGGAATTACTGAGAGGTGAATGATAGTGGGGTAGGAGGAAAGAAAAAGGAAAGAAGGAAGCAAAAAAATAACATATATCTAGCTATAAATATAGATATATACATATGTAAATGTATAAGTATATGCATATAGGTGTTTTTGTCATAGATGTACATATATGTAAATACAATAAGAAAGCAGATGGACTTTGGGCCTCTACTAAAATCTCACCTCAATAAAAGAATGATTTGTTCTAATAATGTAGTATATGATACCTTTCCAACATTATTGCTGAAGACAAAATGGGTGCATAATCAAATGTGGTGAAGAAAGCTGATGGTGCCCAGCTATTAAAAAAATGCAGGATCTGGGATCTTAAAAGCTTGTAGCCAAATGTGTGGCCATTGAGCAGGGAAGAAACAAAGCCTACATAGAAGAAGCACAGCAGCCTGTGTCAACATGAAGTGCCACTGGAATAGGTATTTCAATTTCAAAAAGAAGCAATCAAATTAATGTGAAGGATTATGGACACAGTGAAGACCCAAAACTCACCTGCAAGTCATTTGGACAGGTACTCATAGAGGAGACATGGGGGCAATTCAGGCTGTGATATAGCACTGATGAAACACATAACTATCCTCTGGTTCTTTAATATTTCTCCCACTTATTATTAAGGCTTATGTTTCACCTCATTAATACTTTAGACTTACGTATGTTCATGTATATAA